GGCTCATCAAGTGCAGTGGGAAAACAAGTAGAGTCTGTGTAATCGGGCTTAACTGACTGCGCAATACTCTCTGTACACAGTTTATAAGAAACGCAAATCAATCGCAGGAAATATAGATTTTTCTTTATAAAGTCACATTTTACAACGTTTTGGGTAGAAAACAATATTGAGACAGACAGACAGAGAACCAGCATACTCTCCTTCGCCTCGGGTGCAGTGTATAATGAAGAAATAAACAAAATTTGAAAAAAATTATACGCGAAACAAGGTAAAAGCAACAACAGGCCAACGGCTAGGCAATCCAATCAGTTTCAAATTAAGGTTTACACATGCCCCGCCAGCAACCGGCAGCCAAATTGACCAACAGCCAAAAAGTAACCAAAAATCAGCAACAACAAGAGAAGAAAAAAAAACCAAAAAAAAAAAAAATAAATATATAGATAAGTAAATAGAAAAACAAGAAATACACCAAAAGCTTGAGGAAAACCTGCTGGCTGAGCCCTGGCGACGCCTCAATATGCATTCCCATGCGATGCTATTCAGCCTCGACTGGTTCTGACTCCAACTCGTACTGAGCAGCAACGGATCATCCGAGTATCCGTCCATCCGTGTGGACGGCAAGTGCTCAGCGTGACAAAGTGTGACATCGCCGCGTGATGCGAGGACATTGCACTCGCCACATTATTGGCATATTGTAATTACATTGCAATTAAATTGAAAACGAAATCAAAATACAAACTATGCGGAATCAATTGCGCCACAACAACAGAAACAAACAAAACTAGCCAAATAATTGCATTGGCAAGAACAACGACCACGGGCCCGCATCTATTCTTGGCTCCAAAACTGCTAAGGGGCTGCGGCTAGATATAAGCACAGCCCCATTAGCAGACAATTTTGCATACTGTGCATTGAGCTTTATTATGCGGCAATCGTTTAAAATTAAAGAACGCGAACGAATTTAGAATTTATTTTAGCGATGCACACGATGCAAACAACTAGCCGCGCTCTACTCGGGAGTGCCCGACTCGAACGTGGCCCGCAGCGCCGAGCTGGCGTTACAAACGTTCGAGTTACCTTGCTTGCAGCTATATTATAGAAAGCTTCTTCTTCATTAAAGTCCTACGCTATAAATGGGTACTTAATCAAACTTCCGTCTACGAGGTCTGATCTTTAGGAAATGTTCAGGTCTTTGCCAAAGCGCAGCGTTTCACCCTTATACCCCAATGACGGGTAATTGAGGAAAGTTTTTCAAAAAGTGAAATATTCTATGAAACATCTGTCTATACTATACAAAAGCTTACAAACCAAGTTGTGTACAACTAGCTCTTCTAATTTTCGAGTAATGAGCAAATGAGCAGATCTCAAAATCGATATTTATCGATATTATGAAAATTGGAGGAGTTATCGAAAAAATTATATGTCTGTGTCTTAGAATGATCAAAAATGTATGCACTTTGTGCTATCAGAGTCTTTACATACATTTCCACAGAAACAACATACCCCATTTAAGCATTTTTAATGGGTGTAGGGCAAGAATTCGATTTAGACTGGGCGTCGTTAAAGCGTGTGAACCAATTGAAGAGTGAATGTGTCACGCAGAAACACAGCCAATTAATTTGGCAAACTTTGCGAATATAATCAATATAATAATATAAATGCATAACTATTACGTCATTAGGGTTTGTCCAAAATCGCGCTTAGTATATAAAAAGTAGCCTCAACAAAACCAGACGTGGATTTATTGATGGATGCTGTAGTTGGGAACGATCCAAGCGAAAAGTTGTAGACAATGGACAATAATCGGCTGGGGCCTAGTTTTGTGTCTCTGCATTGCTTATAAAATTCGCATAAATCAACACAGTTAATTAGGCAGGCGCCTGAGCCAATAATAATCATTAGCAAAGCCGCAATATCTTTTCAAAAATTAAATTCATATTTGTGGTCTCGCGCGAGGTGTGAAAATTACGTGCAAAACCTGATCAACCCCAAAGTCAGCGGCAACAAATTGATCCAAATTTGAGATACACTGTGAAACAGTTTGCACCCAAATAGTTCATCCGTTCAGGATCGCGCGGGAAAACAATTATATTGCTAGAAGCTTAAGAAGCGGATATTGAATGCAAACAAATAGTTTTTCATTACATTTACATTTAGTCAATAGCCCAAGCACGTAGACTGTTTACTGAGTCGATTCAAATAGCTTACTTAAAGGATAGGTAAACAAATAATACTTATTTAGTGTGGAGTGCCCGACTAGTAGATACCCTAACTGCAGTTAAGGCATTCCGACATCCACAAACCGATTAAGAAATTCCACCCGCAAGTGTGGAAAATGCACGGAAAAAGTGCTTTTCCCATAAATGAAAAGACGAAAATTTCCACAAAAATCCATTTCACACGTTTTTCACACTTTTCGCAAAATCCAACCCTTCTGGTTAAGAAATGCGGGCAAGAAGTTGTATAAATGAAAGTTTATAATTCAGCTGAACGATTCTCTAATCGAGACTTAAATAGGCGGAAATAGTTGATCTTCAGTAATTTTTTTGAACTTAAGAGGTTTTTTAAAATAACTGAGTCTTTAAACTTTCACCTGACGGGAAATGGGTGGAAATATGAAATATGACGAATATCTATGATCTATACGATCTATACGAATAAAAGGACATGACTAGATTGTCCCAGCTCGGAGTTGTTTGCTTCTGTTTGCTGCCCAGTTCAATGGATTTAGGGTAGACAATTAATGTTCATGTATTTGCCAGAGAAATGCAATGGGGCTCTGATGATGCGACTCTTTAAAAGGGGCGTACGAGCAATGCGCGGCAAATAACAAAAGCTGGCAGCCAAAGAAATGGAATTTGTTGCTGTTTCTAATAGAAACAACAAAATTTCACACGGCAAGAGAAAAAGAAATAAGAAAAACAATACCGAAACCGAAACGAAATTAGCTGCCGTACGGCAATAGTAAAAATAAAAGATACAAAAACTATAGACGAAAATGACTCGTGATTATTTTGCATACGAAATGCTGTCTCATAAACAGTTCTGGCGACGTCATCAGCACGTGGTCGGCCAGCTCGGATACATAAATGCAGACCCAGCTGCAGATGCATCTGTGTATTTGCACACACCTAGAACTATATGCATAACACTTATGCCAGCTCTGACGCAATTGAGCACACTTTCGAGCCCACTCTCAGACGACATCAATTTGGGTTTTCAAGTTCAAAAGATTTGCTCCGGCGTTGGAGGGGGGCAACGACGACGGCTACGATGACGCGCCCGTGCCGCATGCTCTCCCGTGTAATCCGTGAAAACTGCTGTAACATTTTGCATTCGGCTTAATGGCGTCGCTGGCGTCATGGTTTGTCATCAGCTGCCGGCCACATTCGGTTCCTCTTGCCAATAATTCGAATAATACGTACTGCAATAATAACAACAAGAATGCTCGGCTATGCACGACTAGCAGTTACCCTGCACTGCCGAGCTGCGGCCACAACATTTCGAAGAATCTACCCTCGACTTGCGACTATGAGAAATACAGACTACAAAAATTGCATAACTTTGGCATATAAAGCAATCAACTTTTTTAATCTGAATAGTTAGTTAACTAGTTTGAATATTCGGAATGAAAGCCCAAATACCAATATTGTTGATGTTGTGCATATGGCCTAGGAGAGCGCATATCCTGCCTGAAGGCGCGCATAATTTCTAACCTTATTCCATTTGCCGTCTTTTGTATAAATATACGTGCCATGCAGGTGTCTATGTGTGTGTGTGTGTGTGTGTGTGTGTGTGTGCTAGTCATATAGATTTGTAGATTTGTAAATCATTTTGCGTCAGACATTGTGTCGCTCTGCCTCTATTTGCGCCTGTCTGCCACAGTGGCTGCTCCTCTACGCCGTCTGCTGCCTCCGCGATGCTTTGCTGACGCGGGTAAACATGTGTTTGCCAGCAGCAGCAGCAGCAGCAGCAGCAGCAGGTGAAGTGAGTTGAAATGAAGCCAGCCAACTGGGATAAGCGAGACTCTTACATCTATTATTTGCCTAATTCTTTTATGTATTTTACAACTCTTAAGCGCTTTGATGAAAATTGATGTCGTCATCGTGCATCGTAGTATTCTCCCCGAGGCGTGTCCCACAATTTAGTTAATGCCAGCTGCATGCATTCAAGACTATTCGCAGTCGTTTTATTTTTTTTTTTTTTTTTTGCCATTTAATTACACAGCAGCTTTGGCAATGCGTAATATTGCGCATACGCAACGTGTGCCCACTAATTAGAAACCAACAACCACCACCGATAGGAGTCGTATACATACACGTGTGTATTCCGTTACTGTGCCAACTACTGCTACTGCTGCTGCTGCTGCTGCCGCTGCTAGCAGCCAACTGCTGCTGCTGCTGGCCGCATAAGCCGGGCGAGCCGCCGGACGCGTTGACCGAGCAACCCAAATGTCCAATATCGCAGCCGTCGGGAAAGAGATTGCGGCACGGATAGATGGCAGCCGGAAAAACAGCGGCTGCCGCTGCTGTTGTTGTGTTTTTTGAAGTTGTATTCAAGTTCTGCCTGTAGCAGGAATTGTTATTGATCTCATAGTAGATGCTGCTCTCGTAGTGTGGGAACGTGTACTGTAAGGACTCGCACTTGATGGTCGGCGATGGCAGCAAAAGTTTCACTTGTTGATGCGGCTGCTGCGGCAGCATTTGTTCATTTTGATCAGGGCACCTACTTTTGTTGTTGTTGCTGTTGCTGTTGTTGTTGTTGTTGTTGTTGTTGCAGCTGTGGCTTAGCGACGCCGACGCCTCTTGCTTCACCACAATCAGGGAGGCAAGACGATCGCGCATTATAGTTAATAGAGTTCGGCCAGAGTCTGGCGTGTGTTAATGATGTGAATGGCGAATGTGACTGTGAGTGATAATCAAATGCTGACACAAGACACAAAATAAACACAGAAGGCACAACAACAAATATAGGACACATGGAGGCAATGTATTAAACACCTGTATGGCGCACTGCAACGCGATGGAGATCCAGCACGACGTCCCAGCTGAAGCCAACCCTTGGCAATTCGCCAGCCGTAGTTGTTTTGCTTATATATATTCAATTGTAGTTGTAGTCAGGCCCAGGCTATGGTTGCGCCCTGCTCTTCATTATTGTTTCTCGCGCGGCACTTTTGTTCTCGCCTATTTTAGCATGTCCTTAAACTTGAACTTGCGTTTACTGCGTTTTGGCCCGGCGACCTTCCGCTTTTCCCTTGCCCACTAAGCGTTTGCGCACTGCCAACTGACGACGTAAGCAACTGACTACGCAATGGCTTACTCACGTTTACAAACACACACACACATGTGTGTGTAGGTGTAGGTCTCACAAGGACTTATCTCAATGTTATTCGTAAGCAGCGTCAAGACATCAACAATATTTTCCTGTTGCCGTTTAAACAATGCACCTGCACTGAAGTCTGTTAAATGATATACAATTGATACGATTTATGCACCGTTCTACCGTCTACCGTTTACCGTTAACCGTCACGTTACACATACGCACTGTGGCACGCGCGCTACAACTGCAACGGAGTTGTGCGATATTACGCATACGCTGCGTTGTCAGTCGGCTTCCGTTTCCGTATTGGACTAGATATGACAACTTGTTGCAATTTAACGATTCTTTAAACACAGCACATGATTATTTATTTAAGAATATATTAATATTAATGCGCGAATTAGTACATGTACATACATTTTGATGCGTGTGTGCTTTGGATGTAAAAATTGCCGTTTGCTAATTATATTTGATTCAGGTATTTAGTGTTTGGGCTGGTTTGTTTAATGTTTGCGAAAAGTTGTTAACAATGCGGCGTCTGTGACGCGACTGAACTTATCTTTACGGTTACACGCGACTATATCCAAACGGAGGAGCAGCGCACAAAACGAACAATCTGCTTCAGTCGGCGTCGCAATCGTTTTGGCTGCCAGCTGGTTGCTTCGTCTCTGCTTGTGTGCCTGCCAGCTTGCGCGTGTGTGTGTGTGAGAGTAAGAGTGAGCGAGCGAAAGAGAGAGAGAGAGAGAGAGACGAAGAGGAGACTGTCGTCGGCTGCAGCACACGACCTACCTTGCGCGCTCGGCTTTTTGGTAAGCCAAATCGTAAGCGCTATTACGTCATTCCCGAGCCATCATCATCAGCCCAAGCAGGACCAGGGGCAGCAGCAGCAGCAGCAGCCGCAGCAGCAGAGCCGCTGGCTGCGGCAGCAGCGATACACAACTCGTGCGAGCGAAAATCGATGACGTCGTCGTTAGGGCGCCTGCGCTGCTGCCAAAACAGCAGTGGGCAAATGCTATATACAAGCACGCAATAATATAGATGGACGGCTCGACGTCGACGCCGACGCCAACGTCGACGTCGCATGAAAGCGAAGACGGAAATAATTTGCGTCATAAAAGCTCTACCCTCTCTGTTCTTTTAACGACGGCAGCGGGCAGGTGACAACAACAATAGCAATTGATTTTTTTTTTTAAGTTACCTTATTTCTGCTATCTAGCTGCTTCACCTGAATCGTTCTCCCTCTCTCTCTCTCTCTCTCGCTACCTCTCTATTGTTCAGCTCTGCTCTGCTACACGCACGCCCACATCGAAAATTATCCTTAACAAAAGGAAAGGGAGCCGGCTTGCGGTTACATGTACCGGCAAGGGCCTTGCGGCTTCACGTGGGCTTGCGTGCGTGCATGTTTGTGCATGTATAACATGCGTGTTATGTGTATGCTTTTCAGCTGCTTAGAACGATATCTCAATTCATGTCCATTAAAAAGCTAAAGCTTATATTCTAAGAAAACAAATAGTTAATTGTCATGATTTTTTTTGTATAGGGTATACAAATGTTGATAACACATCATCTTTAGCAGGGTTTTCAATAAAATACATTAATGATCATCATCATCATCATGCAATGGCTGTATGTAAGTATATTATTAGTATATAACTAATGTGCCTTACCATTGACACCAGGGTGTGCAGATCACAAGCATGAGCGGCAAACAACCGTTGTTTTTATACACACACATACGTAGCTAACAACAGCTCCTCCCCTGACACTAAAAACAAAACTAAAACTGAAACTGAAAGCAACAAGTGACACCCATGCATACATACACACACACACATACAAAACGTAAAGCCGAAGCTCGGCTCACAATCCTCTTGGGCTGCGAGAGCACAAAAAAAAAAAAAAGAGTCGTGGACAGAGACTGAGTGGGAGAGTGAGTGCTTGATTACCAGTTTGAGGCGGAGCAGAAGTATATGTAGGTGAGGCCGGTAACGTTTCGTTTTCGTTCGTTTTGCGAGTTCGTGCTGTGTAATGCATTCGTTGTGGCTATTTTTAGACAGATTCCAAGCCACGTTTTCTAACTGTTTTTAGCGTATGCCTGAGCCTGAATCACAACAGAGCTTTGAGACAAACGTGAGATCGTCGGTCAGCCGACTTGGGCGCAGTGGGCTCTTCCTTTCGATTTCGCTAGATTTTTTTCCCATAATGCTTTTTCTGCGCTCTGGCAGCGCCAGCAATCCCAGCAGTGTTGCAGTGCAGTTCACCAAATTCATGCATACACATGTACACATGTATGTGTGTATGTGGGGAGATACGTACAAGTTGAATTTTGGGAGCGACGCAAGTGGAACTGGTCTGCTGCTGTTGTTGTTGTTGTTGTTGTTGCATTTATTCATGGCTGCTTCTGACTTGTTGGCGCTGCTGCTGACCCGCTCGTGGCCCCAAAAGTGCATACACACACACACACATATACCACGCGGCGGACAAGCGTCGGAGTCGAAGTTGGAGTCGCTTCCAAGATGTTATTGTTGTTGGTTTTATTGGCTGTATTAAGCATGGCTTGCCAGGCCAAGCCAATAGCTGGGCACTCCTTGCTTTTGCTTTTGCTGCTGCTGCCTGCCCTGCCCCTGCATCTGCCCCTTACCTTCGAGTCAGTTTGGCTTTTGTCTTTTTCTGCGATGATATTCTAAATGTGCTGCGCCAAATTTACCTCTTCGTCTGGCCCTCTGTTCGTCTGGCCTAATCCACGTATCGTTTTCGCATCGTTGCGCTGAGTTCGTGAGTTTAATTTAAGGAATTTTAGCTCTTTTTGATTGCTGTTTAGGCTTTGATTTTTGTATGTCTTTACCAAATTTCAATTAGCAAGCGGCACTTTGCGTTTGCTATTGCGCCTTTTTGTCGCTATTGTTGTTATTGTTGTTGTCGTTGTTGTTGTTGTTGTTGTTGTTGTTGTTAGACAGCGCATTTGTGACGGCGCCTTTTGAATCATTTGCATAAATTGCTTTGGTTTGGCTTTGGCCAACCCTTTACCTCTCCTTAACTTTGGCTTGCTTTAGTTAGGCTGGCTTCATTCCGACCGGGACAGACATGCCGACATGCCCATTTTATCGATGACCCACCTATCTATTACCGGGCATAACTATAAGCCAAGTTATCCCCATAACATCCCATGCAAATTTTCGGCTCTGCCTGCAGGTGCATTTCGTGGCGAATTATTGTCATTATATTGTATTTTATACCTGAAAACGTCTTGCATCTATTGCAAGTATTTTATGCAATTTTTCTTTTATTATTTTTTTTTTTTTTGCTATCTTTGCTTTTGGCCAAATTGCATTTTGAGGCGAGCATGTCAGTATATCACGTATACGCCAGGCGTGTAATTCACTTTGGTAATGAACGATACAGTTTGCAAATAGTTCGATTAAAGTTTCAGAATCCAGCCTTTCCGCATAACCATCTTATAACAATCCAATTGCAATCTATGTATCCTGATCCTGAGCCTTAACTTTTGTTAATATAGTAAGGAACATAAATTAAGTTCCGACTAGAAAATGTCCCCAACTCAGCGAGACTTTCACTATACAGACATCGCAGACATACTCAAAAACACACACACACTCACGCGAGTGTGCTTCTTCTGCTCTTATTGGCATATTCCCCCACACAAATATTGGGACATGCATTCTTGTCGAGCTGATGGACTGATCCCTATCAAATATTCAGTAGACAGAACCAAAGCACAAACTAACTTAAAAATAACTTTCTTTCCTGTTAATGGGCACGAGTTATCCAACAAGTAAAATATGCCTTATACATATTTAGTTTATACAGAATAACGAAACTAAAAACTCGTCCTTACTTGACTTTATAGATTAATTACTTAATGAAAACGACAAAGCGAGCCTCAAGCAAAGTATTCTAATCAGAATACAACTACTTCCAATAAGATATCCGTCAAGTGGTGGAAGGGGCATGTATGCCTGCCCTGAGAATATACGTCTATATTAATTTAAAATATTTTTTATCAGAATTAAACATAATAAAGTTCGAGCTATGACGTGGACAAGCTAGACCGAACCCAGTCTTTGACCTCAGCGGAGAGTTCCCAATTGAAGGCACGGTTTGGTTGCCTTGAAGCCGAAATGAAAATCGATGTGAGGAGCGTGCAATAAAACGGTAAACGTTCTTGAAACAATTTGACATTAACTATGAACTGGATTCAACTTTAAGACTGCGATTAACATTTCAAGTTAATTAATGCCTAATTTTTAAAACAATATGCTATATATAATATCAAATACTAAAAAACGGAATAATTTCCGAAATATATTTCCTAACAGTTCCATCTTAATCTTATTTGTAAATGCCCTCCATTTGAAAAAAATGAAGCAACTGAAATATTTTCCCAGGCCTAGAACAATCACACTCATATTTATAATAAATATGTAACGGTAAATGATGGATTAGGCTTAATAGATTGTTCTTAGGTAAATTAATTGCAATAATCATGTCGAAAATACCTGCGGGTGAAAGTATACAGCTACCGCCTTCCGGCGATTATCAGGTTCCAGTGTTAATTAGCGTGTCATTATTTATAGCGCAGCGCTTTGTGGTTGGTTGGTCGCACACGCCGTGACGTCATGAAGGCATACGAGAAATCAATAAACAAAGACGTCATGAATTTGGGTGGCGACGCGTGTCCGTGACGGGCAACATGGACATGCGCTGTTAAGTGCGCTCGCGACATGAATGAAAGCTTCGGAGCATCTGGTGAGTGCGCTGCCCGAGGCAGTGGCAGAGGCAGAGGCAGAGGCAAAGGCAGAGACAGAGACAAAACGCCGGCCGGCAACGGAGGGTCGTCCACGGCGCGACGTTGCTGTTGTCTGCATGGCTGCTGATGTTGTGCTCTCGCTCTGACCGGCAGCGGGCACGTGCGTCAGTGACGTCGCTGTTACTCTCTGCACTCAATTAACAGGGGACTCTCTCTATGTGACGTCAGAGTTGTTCGCCGTCAGCTGGACTGCTCCAATTGACAGTATAAATAGCGGCCTCTCGCTCGCAATGACGTCACAGCAAAACTGGTGTGCGTGGGCCATTTTATACGCTTGCTGAGGTTATTATAATTTTAGCAAGAATTGTGTAACGCTTAGACGTACGCAATTCAGACTCCGTAAAATATATGCCTGATCAGGTGGATGGGCAGCTTTCCTTTTCTCATGAGGAAAATTTAATTATAATTACTCTTTAACCATGATAATCATTTTTTCTAAATGAAAATCGTAACAGTGTAATAGGGTGTGAGGGTATTTAATCTTTGGTACTCCGCAGATAACTGTAAATTCTTCGCTTGGCCTTCACTGCTCATGTCCTTCGTACGATGTTAACGATGATGTCACAACTCTCTTGCACTTGACTGCAGCGCCAATATAAATAGCCAAAGGATAACGACACGTGCAGGCGTTTTTGCGGGTTAAAATAGTTTCTGATTAGCATATCTAAAAGCGATTTTCCAATAAATTTATAGTAGGCATTTTTAGCGTAAATGTGTGTGTTAGTGTGCTCGACGAAGTACACAGTTTTTTAGCAGGCTTTAAATAGGTAAGCGGAATACAATTTTAAGCTCAACTCCGACTCGAACCCACCGACCTACAAGCAGTCAGTGCTGTCAATTAGGGTATTTCTAGCGAAAAATAGCTGTTTTTAAAGCTTAGTTTCTTTTTGGCTTCCCTGTTTGTGGCATATTTATTGCGAGTTCTTTTAGGAAACTGCTTCAAAGGCAACTGCGCAGCTTTTTATGCCCCAACATTGTGCACTTAATCTAGAAGACCGCCTTGCCAACTTGTGCATAGAATGTTTATTCGGCTAATTTTATTAGAAATGGATGCAGCTACTTTAACGAAGCGACACTATGGCAACACTGGCAGCATTGGTAAAGTCACCACAGTATTTATTACCGTACGGTGCATGCAGTGTATACATGTGTGTGTGGGCATTTTATCATAGTGCTCGTAAAGCGCAAAGGCAAATGCAAAAGAAAATGTGTAAGAAAGAAAGATCGGAAGTAAAATTCAACATAGAAGTGACAATAACTGTTAGAAGATAACGTTAGTTTTGCGGCAGGCCAAAAATGTTGTGTTTTATTATATTTATTAAATCAATTCAACAACTAAAATGGTTCAAAGTCCAAGACAATTGGAACTGTATGAAAAAAAAACTGTATCCGTAACGATGGCACTTGAAAATGTTTAAACTGCACATGAGATTTCCATAAATTATGCGACCTGTCATTTACAAGGAGCAAAACAATATACTGGACAGTTGAAGTCTGAAATGAAATGCACACAAAAACGTTGCCGCCAAGTTGCAAGCAGACGCCAAGCCGCATCCAAGCCGTTCGTTCATGTGAAGCCTCTGTTTATGGCGGTTTTCGCACCCGTGGCGCTCGGACGGCGGCTGGCTAACGTGACTTGACCTCGACCTGTCCCGTCTTCTCATGCTCAGGGCAATACAACGTTCGAATAACCAAATGCTCGGCGTATTATTTATGTGCATTGAACGCGAAACACTTAGAACTAGACACTAAGCAATATCTATGCAGACGTAGAACTGGGCAGCGAATAAGCGACAATAGTCTCCGTGGCTGGGCACGATTACATCTTTATACTCTGAACCGTATAGATGTGTATCGTCTGATAGCTGCGTGTTAAATTCCAGCTAAGCCATGCACCGCGGTCAACAATTGCAGGCAGCCACAAAGTCACAAAGCCACAATATGCGACTTGTGTTAAGTCAACGGGTTTGTCAAACTGCCGACAGAAACACGGCTTCGATTCGATTAGACGCCGGCATGGCACCTTGACAAGCCTGCAAACATCTTCAAATGGCAATTGGCAATCGAAGATGATGACGCTAATAGTGCCAGAGCTGGTGCTGGTGCTGGTGCCGCCGCTTCTTCTGCTGGAGGTGGCGCTGAAGCTGTGACTGGAGTTGAAGTTACCTATGTGAGACTCTGTGTTTCTATGCTGGTGAGATAAGCAGACCTTTTCAATAAATTTACTTGCAATAAAACAATTCCGAATGTTCCATATTTAGGGCGTGCGCGACTAGACAGTTACCCTGTGCCCAGAAACAGGAACAGGAACTTCCGAAAGCCGAATAGAGTTGAAGTTATCTATGTGAGACTCTGTGTTTCTATGCTGGTGAGATAACCTGAGATATCCAGACCTTTTCAATAAATTTACTTGCAATTAAACAATTCCAAATGCTCCATATTTAGGGCGTGCGCGACTAGACAGTTACCCTGTGCCCAGGAACAGGAACAGGAACTTCCGCAAGCCGAATAGAGCTTGGTTTAATCCTTGATTTAGAATTGCCAGCCATATTAAGAGGCTCTTTTCTTCTGCTGTGCTGCTGAACAAGGACTAAGGCAAACCCTTAGATTGTAATTAAACTATGCTGATTATGCAACTCAAGCATATTACAATTCTCAACTGGTTCACTGGCGCGGGAATTGCATCGATCAGCGCATCAGAGGAAAATGTCAAGCACGCTAACCCAGCAGAAGTACATAATTAGTCAATGCAAAAAAGCAGAAAGGCGAAAAGCCACCAGCGCAGCAGACACCTGAACATGTCAAGGCTTTGAATATGTTTGCGGAGGCAAAGCCGATGTCAATGGGTTATGTGTACTACAACTAAGTCAGAGCGCGAGCGCGATCGCGATCGCGATCGGCGTCTATTTAAGGAGACCGTCGAGGTCAGCTGCTGCTTGTTTGTAGCCATTGTGATTGTGGCAGCGAGTACGAGAACGTTGCACGCAACAGCCTCCGCACCGAGACGGGCCGATGACTAAGGCTAACCACCGGCCACAGGTGAGCAAGCGGCCAAGCGGCCAAGCGACCAAGCGGCTGACTGGACTGACTAGGCCGGCTGACTGTTGGCTTCCTGCTGCTAACACAGACATCATTTCAATTGGCGTACGGCAAAGTTCAAGCAACAATTGAATGCGAAATTTATTGCGACCGCCGATAGTCAGTCGAATTGAAACGAAGTGAATCGAATTAATTTTTTTTTGTTTGTTTTAAAAAATGTTTCAAATGGATTCTCGCTTGATTATTAAACGGCCAGTCCGTAAAAGTACACGCTCGCAATTATCTGATAGCGTTCAGTAATTGTGCATTGTGTGCGTGCATTATATGCGATGAGGTTGCGATCATAAATACAACAATAGCCAGTACTTCCTTATGGATATTCCGGCGCCAAGCCCTGTGGCTCAGCTCGAGCCATACGTAAAGTTCAGCTTTACTCTGTTGAGGGGCTTCAAATAATCGGGATGCTGTGTGGCGCAGAAGTTAACTACACTAAACTTGATTTCCTACTGAACAACCTACCTGGAGCAGTCCTCGGCTGATCTTGGTCTCTTCCACGTTCAACGTCAATGTTCGATCCGCTGTCTTGCCGCAGCAATAGACCGCATTCAAGACAAACTGATCGGTGATCTGGTCACAGCTCTTGATATCGATGCAAGCCAGCTGGGGGCACTTGCGCACCAAACGCATGAGGCCGACGTCGGTGACCCGGCCACACCAGGACAAGCCGAACAGCTTAAGCCCGGTAAGCTCATTGAAGAACTTGAAGTGTTCGTCCTCCAGCACATCATTGTCGCACCAATGCAGCTCCGTCAGACTGCTGAGCTGGCCCAGGCAGCGGGCATGCTGGTTGCTAATGTCAAACTGTCCTGATAGCTTAAAATATGTCAGCTTGTTGCCCTTCTTTTCGGCCAGAGTGGAGAGGAAGCCCAGGTTGAGCTCGTTGGAGGTCATCCACGTTTTGAGTGTGCAACGCTGCAAATTGGGCAACTGGGCAATGATCTCGAAGTTGGCATCACAACCAGAGAAGGACAGTTCCTCGAGCTCCAGACAGCATTCGGCTATCTTCTGGTAGAGCGACTGATTCATCACCTCGAAGCAACAGTCGTCCAGGACGAGGGTGCGCAGCTTCTTTAGTGGAATGCCAAACTCACCCGAATTCCACAGTAAACAGTCGCGCAGCACCAACCTGTGGAGCTTGGAGAAGCCGCACAGATGTTTGCCTACGGTCGGGTACAAGCAATCCGTTTAAGCTGGCATTTCGAATTTATCGGCTTACCAGTGTAGCAGCCATTAATCAGCTCAAAGGACTCCAGCTCCGTGTTACCGTCCAGATTCAGACTGAGCACATCCTCTGCATCCAGGCAATCGATGCTGACACGCCGCAGACCCGTCAGTCGCGACAACAGCGCGCAATAGCGAAACTCATCCGTCACGTTGGTGTAGTAGATCTCTTCCAGAGTCTTGCAGTACTCCGCAATGAATTCGACCAGCAGCGACTCCTTCTGAAAGGACGCGCAGTTGACCAACAGCACTTTTATATAAGGGCCGGCCAACTTGAAGAAGTCTATGATTTCGGGCAGCATCATTTGCTCCACATCCTCTGCCTTCAATGTGTGCCTGTGCGCCCGCGCCCAGCCCTCGAAGGCGTGCCGGAATTTGGGCGCCACACACGCTAGTCGCACCTTGTCACACAACGTGGGCAGGTAGGTAAACAGCTGGCGTATAATTTCCTCATGCAGGCACAGAATGTGGCAGCTGGACGAGCCCTTCTTTTCGGACTGCGCCAGCAATCCAGAGATTCCAGACATGGTTTAGTGTCGTCGGCTCGCTAAACCCTTAACACATAAAATTTTCATTGCTTCCTTCTTGACAGCTCTCGACAATTGTAATCAATCAAATAAATATATTGGGAGTCTAAAAAACAACCATTTGAACACGTCTCGATTCTCAACGCTTCCTATGGCAGCCATCAGCATCAGCATCAGAAAATTGCGGCTGACAGCTGCAGCCAATTTTTATTCCTCGTCAGAATCAGGTAATAAACAATTTAGTTTTTTGTGTTTGTTGTTGTTGTTGTTTTTGCTTTTGTTTGGCAACAATTAACTGCATAATTGATTGCATAAATGCATAAATAAAAGCCAGCTGAAAACAATCAGAAATGCGAGTATAGACTTACAGTTATATCCTACTAACTATATAAATATGCACATTTCTATTTATTACCGGGTAAACATTGTATTTTAATTGTTTTTTGTTTACCCACAATAGCCTTGCAGAGGGCAATTAAGCATTGTCACCTTTAACCTCCTATATATTTTGATCTATGTCTGAGTACAATTTTTACGTGAATTTTGCCAAATTAATCTTGAGGCCAAACCATAAACAAAGAGCCAATCCTCGCGAAAATCGGATGAGATTTGACCGAGTTATGGGAATGGGATATATAGCATATTTTGATCAAGAATAATGTTGCGTGTGTGTGTGTTTGGGGGCGTGTGCGTGTGTGTGTGTTTGGGGGCGTGTGTGTGTTAGTGTATGCATGCATGTATGTGTGCATGCATGGTTGTTTTCTAAAACTGAACGCAGCCAAGCTTATTTTTCGCTGTGCTGCAAATTTAAATAAAACGAATTTCTGCCAAGTGCTCTCCTCCTCGATTCTCAAGAAGTCAAGTAGGCTCTGCTGTATTGCATGCTTAGCCAGTAGTGTAGTTTTTTTTGGTATTTTTTTGGTGTTTCTTTTTTGGTTTTTTTTTTGTGTGCTTTTTTTGTTTTTTTTTTTTTTTGTATGTATGTACATATATATGTATGTTTATATATGCACATGTATGTTTGCATGTGCATATATATGAATGTTGATATATATGTATACTTGTACATATGTTCGTATGTATGTATGTATGTATGTATGTACGTATGTATGTATGTATGTATGTACGTATGTATGTATGTACGTATGTATGTATGTACGTATGTATGTATGTACGTATGTATGTATGTACGTATGTATGTGTGTGCATATATATGTATTTGTGTGTATGCATGTATGTATGTATGTGTGTGTATGTATGTATGTGTGTGTGTGTGTATGTATGTTTGTATGTATGTATGTATGTGTGTATATGTATGTATGTATGTGTGTGTATGTATGTATGTGTGTGTATGTATGTATGTGTGTGTATGTATGTATGTGTGTGTATGTATGTATGTGTGTGTATGTGTATGTGTGTGTGTGTGTGTGTGTATGTATGTGTGTATGTATGTATGTATGTATGTGTTATGTATGTTTGTATGGCGGGATCTATCAACATATGTATTTATGTATGTTTGCATTCATGTTTCTATACACACAATCAAACATGCATATATATAAATGTATTTGCAACATGCACACAAACATATATGTATGCATGCATATATTCGTATATACCAAAATACATGCATGTACGGATATGCATATGTATATGTGTATATATGTATGTACAAAGTATGAAAAATATTTGAATTTGCAATACTTGTTTTGTTAATATAGCTTTAATATAACATAGATTCTACAATGGTATCAGATATACAAATTACATGATGGAACATCAGTCAGTGTCTGAAGCAAATAATAATCTTTTCTGATAGCCCTAAAGCCCAAAATTTAAAGCTTTAACGAATGTTTTTCATGTCTCAATGTTCCATTATTAATCGAATATAATTAAACACATTCTTGACCTTTAGCTAATATTAACCATAAGCAAATTATATTTTGAGATAATACTATAGGAATAGGAATCTCCTCATCGATGTTAATAACAATCGTGACCAAAAATGATAAATTTATATTATTATAAGTATAAATGTACGTAACAAATTTAAAAGACAAACAAATTTGCTTCGATGAAGTACAATATTTTGGAAATTTCAAAAGCTTTTCAAAGTATTCTCAATTTTCTATTCAGAAGAGAGAGAGAGAGAGATTGTTACTCATCGATCTATTTTTGATCATGTTGTTTGCTTAGTATATTTAATTACGATATAATAAGTTGTGTGAGAATCATGTTCTTAATCAGCTCTATATATATATCGATATAAATAATTTAATATATTCCCATGTTCCCCACACTCAAATCCAATGCGTCAGCTGCATGGTGCCGTCGTGGGTCCGTTGTGTGTCCATAACGCTCATTTGGCGCACCAGGCGCTTCATGGAAGACCGATGCTGTCTCCCAGTGCTGCCAACGGATCCGCTGCTGTCCTCCAGCGGAGTGCGTTCCGTAACACGCGGCTGCGGACGTTGACGTCGACTGTCCTTAAGCTCCAGTTCGACTTCGGAAGCATTGTTGGAGGAGCCGCCCAGTACATCTAGATTTTCATAGGAAGCTGGCGGTGAGTGGACATCGCTGCAAGAGCCAGTTGCAAAGGTATTCAAGAGATTATGCAAGCATATATGACATGTGACTTACGGCTGTGGCTTGCAGTGCAGACAATCCTTAAACTGCCAATTCTTGCCGAACTCTTCGCCCTCCTCGATGGTCTGCGGCAAGCGATGGTGCAGGGTTTCCGGTAACCGCAAGCCGGTCATGCCACCCAGCATCGATACGAATCCCATAATTACCAACGGCAGCTTCAGGTTCTCCTTGCCCAGGTAAGTGACAAATGGTATTCCAATAAGACCTAATCCACCGATGTAGCTTGAGGCACCAATGCCTATGCCGCGCACTTGCGTCGGATACAGCTCACCGGCAAAGGGATAGATGATCAGAAATGAGGCCGATAGAAGAGCCTTCGATATGAGATATAGGATTAATGTCTCCTCTATTGCGTCATCGGGCAGCATGACAGTTATAATGCAAGCGACGCCGCTAAATATATTAATAAAATAAGAGTTGAAAAATTTCAATTCAATTGCAAAGACAAAGAATTTTCTAACTTTTCGACAAATGACTGCTCTAATTTGTCGTAGTCGTAGTCGTAGCTGTGAGGAATAATGAAGATAGAAGTGTGAATAAAGTAGTCATGGACTTACCCCAATATCATGGAGAGACTGAGAGGCCAACGTCGACCCCAAGTGTCCATAAAGTACCAGCAGCACAGGTAGCTCGGCAGCTCCACCACTGCGGACAAGAAGAAACTCACGTACTGATTGGTGCCAAGCGAGGGACCGTAATAGCTGAGGCCCAAGTACACGGTCTCATTTGCGAACCAGCTGAGCGTTATCAATATGGTCTTTAGCCGCATGTTGGGCGTGCGGCACAGATCCGCAAGGCCTACGTTGGCGATCTTCTTTTTCTGCTTTTTCAATTTATCCCTTCTGATTTGCGCCTCCAGTTTGCTGTGCACTGCCTCCGGAAACTGTTGACCATTAACGCGAGCCATGCTTTCCAGTATCTTAAGCGCCTCCTCCAGGCGTCCGCGCATAAGAAGCCAGCGCGGTGACTCGGGCATTATGAATATGTACAGAAAGTAGGAATAAAACGGTAGAGATGTGTAGTAGGAAAGCCGCACCCAGTCCCGCTCCAGATAGGTAACCAACGACAGGAGCATTATGCCCGAAGTGTAGAAGGTGCAGGTCATGACGGTCACAAAGCTGCGATACTTCTCGCCCACAAGTTCCAGAGCTAAATAAAAGCCAAACGGGAGGAGTACAAAGACGTGTCCAATGTGTGGTCAGAGACTTACATATGATAAAGGGTATCTGGTATACAGCAGGTATAGTCAGGCCCACGACCACTCGACTGCCAGCCCATGTCCAAAAGTCCTTGCTCAGCGATGTCATCAAGCTGCCCGCCAGCAGGGTGGCCAAACATGTGAAATATGAGAGTCTTCGCCCCGCCCGATCGTTGAGCAGCCCAAACAAATAGACACCCACCGGGCCGCCACTGTTGAGGGCCGCCAGACCAATGGTGGGATATATGTCTTGATCGCATACCAAATCGAACTGTTAACGGATTTAACAGTTATTATTATGTTTGTGCCAGGGCAGGATATGACGTGAATGGGAAATGAGTGACAAAGAGCTGCTCTACATGTGGGGCTACATGTGGATTGATCGTAGCTTGGCTTCTTTAATCACATCGATCACAATCGAGGACCAGACTGTGCTGGTGTTGTACTCCCAGCCTTGACGGCACTTAACCAGGGGCCAGCTGCTATTGGGCTCCAAAAACGTATAATTCCCTCCATTGTCATCAGCCAAGTCGAGCAGCTGCGTCCAGTTGACTCCGTATGTATAGCATTTGCTGTATACCATCTCGTCGTTCTCCTAAACATATGTTTAAAAAAAATAAATGAAATTAAAGAATTGATCTAATAGCCGCACCCTGAACAGTGGCTTACCAGTTCCTTGGGTATGGCCAAATATTTGCGCTGCTCGAGATCCAATTGCAATAGCTCGGGAACCCGACACCAATAGTCGTCTGGGGTGTCGGCCATGAAGAGCTGGTTGAAGGCACAAAATCCGCATGGTATACAAGCAGGCAGACAAATGCCAAAGACCAAAAGTTTCTGATATTTGCCAAATTCGCCAATGACTGGCAACAGATCGTCCAAATCGAAGGCTTCCTGAAATGGTGTCCCATGTGAATATTTATAATTATTTCGGAATCAATGCATCTATTCACATCCACCGATGGCTGCGAGTCGAGCTTGGTTTTTTGTTGCAACTCCGAAGACTCATCAAATTCATCCTCACTTTCCACAATTTGGCTGGACATTAATTTGGGATCGATTCTGCGTTACTGTGAAATATATAGATTCTTGAAATAATAATGAAAACAATGAAGCACTTCAGCAGAAGCCTCAAAAGTGCCGATTGCCGTTTCTGGTGCAGTTTGAAGGGTTGCAACCCTTGCTTAAAATCGAATGGAAGAGGGCGACTTATTTAAATTGTATTTTTATAATTTAATTTTTAATTCCAAAGTGGGTTTTAATCACTTTCAACTAAAGTACATCTTTTTAAATATTACATATATGATTACAATCATGATTATCCTTAGAATCCAAGCATTAGTTAAAAATTAATTGGATTTGTTTTAACGAATAAACAAAAAGAAATGTACTTTCAATTACAAATCAGTAAATTAGAATAATAATAATAATAACGATACAGGAGCGAGTTAATTTATTTGTTATGTATATATATTTGTTTTGTTAATTTTTCGGATTCATGTTTATATCGTAAATAGGACGTTACATTGAAAAGATTAAGCTTCATGCCAAAAATTTAATAGACTGTTTTTGAAACATGTTACCTACACGATTGATTTTCACCCTTTCTCGTACTTCTGGTTATACTTAACATTATTGCGCGCTTCGGTACTACAACATACTCACATATATTTATATACATTATGATGTATTATATGTATACTAAGTTCATTATAATAAACAGAAAACCGGCTGTTCACCCACAGCGCAGAAATCACACACATTAGGCTTAAGTGTAAATTGTGGCTAAACATGCAACACACACGGGCTCGCACATTTTTATAAATACTTGATTTATGCGCCTAATCGACCTTGACAACACTATAGATTTTTCTTATAAACCAGAAGCAAGCAAAGAAGCCAATTGTGCCAGTTAGCAAAAAGAAGAGGAATACCATTATAGCCGTATAGCCAAAGTAAAGGAACGTCGAAGCGCTATCCTTAATCGAGAGTTTTGTGACAAAGTAATGGCAACAATATATGAACAAATAAACGGCTGTGAAGCCCGAGGTCAAAAACGATCGCCACCACCAATGATAGTCTTCCGCGCATAGATGGAAATAGCAGAGCAAGATTGTTGTCTCCGAGCAAGTGATGATAAGTATGAGAAATACGAGAAAGAGAAATCCAAACATGTAGTACATCTGATTTGACCACAGCGAACTTAGTATAAAGAACAGCTGTATAAAGATGCAGCCGAACGGCAGAACGCCTCCCATAACAATGCCGGGAATAGGTTGCGTGTAGATTGACTGATCTGGTATTTGACGTGGAATTTGATTGGTACGCACTGGATGCTCCAATGACTGCAATATACAGAGCAAAGTTAAGAGCATTATTCACATCATCTACAAAAAACAGAAACGCGTTTTATATAGCCACTTACTCGCTTGCGAAAACCAAAATAGGCTCCAACAAAGGTCAACGGTACCGAGACTCCAAACCACAAAGCCAACAAGGCAATCAGTGTGCTAAAAGGCACAGCGCCAGAACTGCTCTCTCCCCAAAGCACCAGATTCATCACAAAGAACAGCGAGAATACGACTCTACGCAATAGAAAACCCTTTGTTAATTAAGGAAGTAATTAGCATATTAATTGCAACTCACCCGGGGCATACGATTGAAGTGAGGATGACGTTGCTCTTCCATTTGACACCGCCAAAGCTCTTATAGATTCGCGCTGAAACATACCCGGCGGGGGTTCCCAGCGACACAAACAAAACCATGGAGCAGGTCATCAAGGCGCCACGATTTGCAGGCGACAAAAATCCAAGGCAAGCAAAAGCCAAGGTAACCATTGACATGACCAATACCTGCACTCCGGAGCCAAGAAATACGGACAAGAGCATACCCTTACGTGGCGGCCGGAAAACATCACCATGCACTAGCTTCCAACCGAATTCCTCTTGTGCATCCTCGCCACTGTCCATTTGATTATATCGCGCGATATCCTTGTGCAGTGTGCGGAGCATTATCATCGCGACCATTCCACTCAGGAAGAGCACAATGACCAGGGAGTTTAGAATCGAGAACCATTGAATATTCGTATGTGGCATTGATTCCAGAATATAATCCCATCGCGAAGACCATTTGACCGCGTCGTTCTGCACGAATTTCACGCTGTACGTGTAAATGATCGACAGAAATTCGCTATTCTTAAGCGAACTTTCGCGTATGGCCAGCGGCTCAGTGCCCAGACAGTTTGGCTTATTTGGATCGGCGTGATTTAATGATTTCGGGGTTACTTTTACGGATATGATACGACCGCTGCTGCCGCCGAAGCCCATGCCCCAATCCTCCCGAGCGCCACTATGATAAGTTATCTCCAGATCCACGTGATTGAACGGATAATAGTGCAATGGCCGATTGTATATCGAATTAATGGGACAACCATCGCCATCTGTGCGTACCAAGCAGCCCATCGGAAAGCCAGTGCTGCAGTACTGTTTGCCCGTCTCAAGCTGATAACACCAAGTAACCGGCATATTGTCCACAATCCAATGATGCTGGTAATTAAGACTAATGCCCTTCTTAAGCACCATCATCCGTCGATCGCTTTCCGCACTGCCGCCAGTATAATTCTTGCGGCAAGCCTTAAATTACAAATAATTTAACGATAGCCATAGTTGGGTTTTATTTGCACTTACCACAGCGCATTCCACATCCTCCATAAATTGTATGTGGTAGGGACCAGGACGAATTCTCTCGCCAAACACCACTTGGCCTAGGTTCTCAACCGGGGAGTTCTCCTCTCTTCCAAGACAGAAATCGAAGTGATGGTACTCATAAGGAATGACAGATTCCTCGGTATTTAAGCGATTAACGTACAAAATGACATCCGACTGGAAAACATATTTGGATAAAATAGAAATTTTGTGCCTAATCGAAAAACTGTATGCCGCAGAAAATGATTATAAATAACAGTTTTATTATTCATCCAGGTACGTATATTATCTGACAAAGTAATACAATTACATTCCCAATATACAAAATAAATATGAGAACTCACAGAATGATTATTTGATTAATACTATCATATAAATTACGTATATTGATAGGATTTTACCAATATTCTAGAATCTTAGTAAGACTTGGTATTGCCAAGTTTAATTAAGTTTCCATCTAACAACTTAATTTTTCTACGATTATTTCTATGGCATTTATATGATAGTTTTATGATAGACATATGGTCAGAGAGAAGGATATGACTATATCGAATCGCTTGTCAATACAGATCAAGAATTTATATACACTACGGGATCGGAGGATCAAACACGTAAATTAATTTCCGATTGTTTCATACAAGAAAACATTTTCTACATTTTCCTATTTGAGTAGACAGACGATATATATATTTGAATACACATATATTTAATGATATATGATAAATTATACTGTTCGAAAGGGTATTAAAGTGCATGGGATTCCTAAAAAAGATAGATACGTTCTAAGTGCCGACTAGAATGAATAGTCTTATCGACATAGATTTATATTTACAGCTTTATGCGACACACTAATTGCGAAAAGAGAGATAAGATCTTCTTAAGACTTATGAGAAAAACATAGCTCTAATTTAGAGCACAGCGGAAACGTACGTCTTACAGCCAACTGTGCTAACATACTCCCTCCCTTATGTATGTATGTGTGCATGTGTGTATGTACTATGTAAGCAGTTCTAACATGCCAAACACTATGATCTACGTCAGCACGCCACCTACACAGTATACATACCACGAAGCAATATCAATCTCTGGGCGCGCTTATCACTGCTTCCGTTAGGGGGCCATACATAGTTGGCAGACCATTAACAATGGTCGAACCGATTTCTGGTGTTGCGAACACCAGAAACACACACACATACAGAGACGAATGAAACCAACACACACACTTACCTTGCACGTAGTTGACACATCCGATTTCTTGCAATAGTTAACCGGTGCCAGGCCAGGCAGATAGAAACCTTCGGAAATGGTGGACGTGTTAACAAATAACACCACTAGCATTATTAGAGAAGGGTCCATGGTGCAGCGGCACCGAGACGGCTTCATTCCTCTTTAATTGACAACTAAAAACGGACCCACAATTGCAGTCAGGTGGATGTGGAGCCAAAAAGTGTTTGAGTTAATGTTGATGTAATACCCGTTAACGGAATGATATCAATACGTGGGGCGACTACGCCAAATTCTCGATGATGTCTATTAAAGTCTCAGTTGGAGTTTAATTGTCAAATTTTGTTTCTTTTTTCGGCTTATGTCTGTCTGTCTAACAAACGTCAGCACTGTGCAATTGCAAAAGTGGCGTTGCCACTAGTCGGCCTGCCAACCTGAGCAACTGGCAGCAGAGTTGCTTTTTTAGTCAAATTTCTTTTTCGATACAACTTTTATTTAAAAGTAAAATCTGTGCGAATAAATGTAACCGTTCAATAAAAATGTAGTTTGTTTAAAACCGGGTAATCTATTTTTAAGTGTTTCTTATTGACGCGCATCAACTTTAAACTCAACTGACAGCTATGCCCAATCCGCGGGTTGCCACCTTGCAGAAAGATCGACGCGCAGCATTTTTCCATGTGGAGTCGAGAATTATTCAGAGCCGGCCTGCTTCTCTTTCTTTAACAATTCACGTTTTATCGAACATAAAAATTCTTGTTCCAAGTTAATTGCAGCTAAGCAAATTTAAGTTATATATTTAATCAAGTTGAGCGACAGTCGCTCTGGTCCCGCGTTTTTTGACAGTTGAAATAGCCAAAATCGAAATAGCAACACAGCATCAGCAACGCGCAGACAAAGGGGAAACAGACACGCATAGTGAGTAAGTATTAAAGCGAAAAAATCAATTATAGGACAAGGCGAATATATCCAAAGTGTGTATGTCGTATCGTCAATCTTACAAAGCATATTTTCATTTTCGTTTACCTATTTACCAGCTGCTCGGTATTGTCTATATTTACACATACATACGCACCATAGAAAGCTAAGCGATTACGAAAAATTTCCACACATTCGCGCCCTAACAGCTACGGCATTTACACGAAATCGAAAGTAAGAGCGCAAAAATGACTTCAGACATAACACGCCAACTAATTGTTATCTTGGAGAAGACGGTCTCACCAGGTGAGTGATAAAGATCCTTTAAGCATGTTTTTACATTCATTTTCATTCGATGCAAGCCACCTATAAAAAGCACCTAAGTTTTGTTGCTCAGGGCCAACCAGAAAGCCATTTTGTTATAGGCTTTGCTGCGGCGCAACGTCGACGGCAGTGACGCGTATGTTGCGCAGGGTTGCAATGTAGCATAAGCGTATGTTCAGTTGCTATACACAACAATTGCATACATATACATATGTGTGCATGACAAATATATATATATATATAATATGTACATATACACGTTTATTTAACTATATAGAAAAGAAAACATATTGTATATGGCTGAGCAACATAACCTCAAATTTGTTCACTTCTCACAGACAAAAATGAACTGCTCTCGGCAAAGAACTTCCTGGAACAGGCTGCCGCCAGCAACCTGCCGGAGTTTCTCAAAGCACTGTCTAAAATCCTTGTGGATACAACAAACAGCGCCGTGGCGCGCATGGCAGCTGGCCTTCAATTAAAGAATCATTTGACGAGCAAGGACGAGCAGATCAGTCAACAGTATCAGGAGCGCTGGCATCAGTTTCCCGAGGAAACGCGAGAGCTAATCAAAAACAATGTAAGTACGGATTATGCTTGTCATTCCAGCTATACTCATTTTTAAAGCCTTAAAGAGAATATTACAATTTTGTCAGAAGATGTCTTACATGTTTAAGGAGACAACTCCGATCCCATAGTGTATATATCTTTTATCATAATCAATAGCCAAGTTGATATAGTCTGTCTGTCTTCTACGCAAACTAATCTTAATATAAAGAAAACTTTCCATAGTCATAATCAGACGGAAGAACAGTTCTATTAGCGTTTGGCTAACATTGTCGCTGTTTGCATATATGCCACCCATTAATTAAAATCAATTTTTTTGTTGCTACAGATACTTGTCGCCTTAGGCACTGAGAATACGCGACCGTCTTGCGCGGCCCAATGCGTTGCTTATGTGGCTGTTATTGAGTTGCCCATCAATCGCTGGGGCATACTCATACAGACGCTGGTCAACAAAGTTGTTCATGAGGGCTCCAGCGAAATGCACCGAGAGGCTGCGCTTGAGGCAATCGGTTACATTTGCCAGGATATCCAATATGGTGTACTTGAAAACCAGTCCAATCAGGTGCTTACGGCCATCATACATGGAATGCGCAAGCAAGAGCCCAGCAACCATGTCAGATTGGCTGCAACGACGGCGCTGCACAACTCGCTCGAGTTTACCAAGGCCAATTTTGAAAAGGACATGGAACGAAACTTCATCATGGAGGTGGTGTGTGAGGCCACACAGTGCACAGACACACAGATTTGTGTTGCTGCCTTGCAGTGCTTAGTAAAGATCATGTCACTGTACTACCAATTTATGGAGCCCTACATGGCTCAGGCACTATTCCCTATAACCTTGGAGGCCATGAAGTCGGACAATGATGCAATCGCTCTCCAGGGAATTGAGTTCTGGTCGAATGTGAGCGATGAGGAAATCGATCTTGCCATCGAGAGCCAAGAGGCCACCGACCAGGGTCGGGCACCACCGCGTGTCTCTAAGCATTATGCACGAGGAGCTCTCCAGTTCTTGACGCCGGTCCTAGTTGAGAAGCTCACCAATCAAGACGAATGCGACGATGAAGACTCCTGGAGTCCGGCCAAGGCTTCCTCAGTATGTCTGATGCTGTTAGCCACCTGCTGCGAGGACGAAATTGTGCCGCATGTCTTGCCGTTTATCAAGGATAATATCGAATCGCCCAATTGGCGCTATCGCGATGCTGCAGTCATGACTTTTGGCTCAGTTCTCAATGGATTGGAAATTAACACGCTGAAACCACTTGTTGAGCAAGCGATGCCCACTCTGATACGCCTAATGTACGATTCCAGCGTCATAGTTCGCGACACCACGGCCTGGACTTTTGGCCGTATATGCGACGTAAGTAACGAACAATGTCACGATATTGAATCACTTTTGATTCCATAAGCATATATATATTATTGATCAATAACCGATCATGTGACAAAACTATAATTATTTTGTTGCATTGCTTTTCACGCACAAAATATGGCAAACACATTTCGCAGAATGTGATTAGTAGCATGCAATAATTTGTATTATTACAATATGTAGCTACCCTCGCTCCAATTAGAGATAGTTAATATTACTATGCATTTAATTTGCTTTTTAATAGCATATAATTACCTTTAAACTTACACCTCTTGCATTTCAGATTATTCCAGAAGCAGCCATCAACAAAACATATTTACAAACGTTGCTCGAGTGCTTCGTCAAGAGTCTTAAGTCGGAGCCGCGCGTGGCCGCAAATGTGTGCTGGGCTTTTATTGGTTTGTCAGATGCCGCCTACGAAGCTGCCGTCACCAATGAAGGCGACACACCTGAATCATATGCATTGTCGCCTTACTTTGAGTTCATTATCACACAGCTGTTGGAAGCCACCGATCGGTCAGATGGTGCTCAGGCCAATTTGCGGAGTGCTGCCTACGAGGCCTTAATGAACATGATTAAGAATTCACCTCTGGATTGCTACCTGGTCGTACAGCACACCACCATTGTTATCTTGGAACGTCTAAACCAGGTTATGCAGATGGAGAATCACATCAGCAACCACAGCGATCGCCGTCACTTTAATGACCTGCAGTCTCTGCTATGTGCTACGCTGCAGAGCGTTCTGCGAAAGGTGCGCGAAGAGGATGCTCCACAGATTTCGGACGCCATTATGACCGCACTCCTCACCATGTTTAGTTCAAGCGCAGGCAAATCAGGTGGTGTTCAAGAGGATGCCTTTTTGGCTGTCTCCACGCTGGTTGAGCTACTGGGCTTCCAATTTGTCAAATACATGCCAGCCTTTAAAGATTTCCTAATCATGGGACTAAAGAATCATCAAGAATACCAGGTTTGCTGTGCTTCCGTTGGACTAACTGGTGACATTTGTCGTGCCCTAAAGCATCTAATGGTGCCCTACTGCGATGAAATAATGTCCGTATTAATGAACGTTCTGTCCGAGCCGAACCTTCATCGCAGCGTAAAGCCGCAAATTCTATCTGCTTTTGGGGACATGGCGTTGAGCATTGGGAGCGAGTTTCTCAAGTATTTAAATGTAGTTTTGGATATGCTAAGGGCAGCTTCCAATTTGCAGGTAATATTGATCATAAACTGTTCCTTGTTTGACTGCAATTACATAATATATCTCTTTTTTTGGACAGGTGGATTCCACCAACTCTGACATGAGCGAATACATTAATGAACTACGGGAGAGTGTTCTAGAGGCCTACACCGGTATCATTCAAGGTCTTAAGGGAGTTGAACAAACGGCCAATCCGGATGTATTTCACATGGAACCTCATCTGGTACACATTATTGGCTTTATAAAGCGCATTGCACAAGAGGGTGAAGTCTCGGACTTGATGATGGCAAGTGTAGCCGGCTTCATTGGGGACTTATGCACTTCTTTCGGTCCACGTCTCTATCCGCTGCTGGATGATGTGATCATCACTCAGTTCCTGGCTGAAGGCAAACGTTCAAAGGGCCAACGTACCAAATTGTTATGTACATGGGCGGTCAAGGAGATCAAGAAGATTAACAGTCAGGTTATAGCCCAGTAATTTGGTCTTTTAGTTGTTAATATGTTCCCACCCCCAATGTATGTACGCAGCCAAACTGGTGAGTAATCCGCAGCAATTATTGCATTTAACATTCATTTAGCTATTTACACATTTTATTACAGTCCAGTCCGAATTCGAATTCGAAAATTCTATCTGCAAGTTTGTTTGTCCGATTTATTGTTGCTGTGCGACGCCTAAAGTTTAAGACAATTTTGTTTGTAAATTTAATTATAAGCCAAATCCTGCTATGATTACGATATTTATATTGTTATTTTTGTGTGAGACCATTAGTAAATTCGATATTTCCTAAGAAGCGTTATCAAAGTCCCATTACCAATTACATAGACTTTCTTTATAAGCATTATGACAACTTTACCAATTAAGCAGCCTGTTAGCACAACGATTCCTGTTATGACACAAACAGAACCCGATTTTATACATTGAAAAACAAAAAAAAAAAAAACTTAAAGAAACAAAACTACAAACGAAAAAGAACAACAAAAAACAAGAGTGCAAACAAGAAAAGTTATTCAAAATAATGTCCAAGTCTCTATTGAGTTGTTAATGTAAGAACAAAATCGGTAACAATATATAATTATATAACATAAAAACCAATACACCTAAAACTAACTAAAATACATAGCAATATTGGATAAAATTGTCTTATGGCTGCAAACATACATTTATAAGAATTATCAATGTAAAAAATCCAAAAGAAAATTGAATAAGCTGTGGAAATGAAACTCTTAGTTATATATAGAGAAGCATGTATGTTCACGTGCAACTATGAGTTTCGCTCACACAAACGCTTATATGCGTATGTATATGTGTATGTATGAATGTGTGTGAGTGTGCGTGTGTGTGTGAGTGTGCTTATGTGTACGACTGCGATTAAATGTAATACTTGTGAGCAGTGTGTGAAAAATGTATATGAATGCTTTATTAATTACTACCAATCTCCACGTCTAGTTGCAGTGTGAATCTGAGGTATGTGGATGTCTGAACTGAAACTATATATGGTTTGTGATTGAAGTGCTATTAAGGAGAGAACCCACTCCTTATATGAAACTTCAAATGCGCGCGTGTGTGGCGTGTTGTGTGATATTACTAAATGTAAGTTTTTTCTAGAGATCAGTAAGCGAACTTCAAACATAAAACGAATGACTTTAGCTATAAGCAAATTTCAAAGTGGACGATGTACCAAAATTAAATTGATAAACACCAAAAAAAAAAAAGAGAAAAGATTTTAAACGGACGCCAATTCAATATACAAACTGAATAAATCCCAATTTTTGAAAAATATAAAAGGGAAGAAACCACAAAACAAACAATTATTCTTACAACATGAAATTGTCATTGATTCAATATTCATAGTAGCGCCTAATTATTTGCAATTAATTTTAAATACAAAAACAATATGCAAAAATATGAAACAAAACGAATACAGTAACAACCAAACAACTACCTGCAGCGTCATATTGTATTGTATATATATATAGTTAGACAAACTAACTAACAACTAAACTAAACTAACGAAAACGGACCAGGGTAACACTACAGTACTTCACTTTACATACTACATATATACATTACATAGAAATAAAAAGACAACAGAATAGGACTGTTTAGGACGTAACCAAAAACACGACGCTTGTTTATTAAAATGATTGAAATCATTTTTATCTTTCATCACGCTCACATGTACATACTTATGAGGACTATACAAGAACGAAATCGATTCGGACATACGAACATTTACACAATATACGAAGAACATAATTGAAACAAGAAGAAATCCTAACAAAATTAAATGTTAACAAGGAATCCCGTTTAAAATCTTTTGAGAATTCTCTGCACCCTATCAAAATGTAAGAATATCTTTCGGGAACCTTAAAGAAAAGTAAATTCCGAAATATATTCGAAAACAAATTTAGTTTCTGCTTTGACAAAGCTAATGCCATTTGATTTAATTGCGAGTCTTATTTGTTCTTAAGTACATACAAAAAGTATATTATATTCACGATTGGCATTAGATTAAATCAAATTATCACACAGCCGTCCAAAAGTCAAAGTTCAGTTTTTTTTTTTTTGCTTCTTTCCAAATAATGCATACATCCATTTATATTTGAATACACAACAATTTGAATTGCCAAAATAATTATATTAGTATTACTACCTTCAAATGTAACTACGGATGGCGGATGATTTGTTAATGTAACTCTGCCGCTTCAATCCCCGGATTAAACATCGTGTATGAGAACTATGTTTGAGAGCTAACGCGCCCCAATGGAACTTGGAGGTTTATTGGATACAGTGTGAACGTAAGTATATAAATACTATTCGAAAAACTAAAATTAATTAAACATCTTTATTCCAGACGTAATTTTTGATGATTGATGAACTTGTGCGCTAGTGTGATGATTAAATATGACAAATGATGTATTGTAAAGTTAAGCGTGTCTGAAAGTGATGCAGAGAAATTTTCTGAATGAAATATTACGAATCCCTTGAGAGCTGATCTTGCACAAATTTTACACATATAGATAAATATTGTAAACGAAGTCTGCTAACTAATGCATATGTATTCCTGTGTGCGATACTTTGACTGATATATTGTGTGCATGTGTGTGTGGGTGAAAGTGTGTGACTGTTAATATCATTCCAGGTTCACAAAATGAATTAAAAACTGAAAAATGTAATGAAACGTTTGTCGGTCTGCTTTTGTTATTAAATTATTTAGCATAACTTACCAATAATAATAATATATAAGTTATGCTTAATAAACAATCGGTTGACACAGGAGCATTAGGGACACACCTTAGCGTGTTCAGTGCATTTAACCGGAAGCGTGATGTGAATGTGAGGGCGTGATTGCATATGCACGTATGTATGAATATGTATATTATAGATGTATGGCTGGATGTGTGTGCGTGTGAGTGTGTGGATGTGTGTGTGTGTGTGTGTGTGTGTGTGTGAATCATTGAGTAAAGCACCACGCGCAGCGCAGAGCAATATAAAGAAATTGTATTTTGCAATGGAAAGCAAAACGATTGCTAATATTAAAAATGTTTAGATGAAAACGAAAAATGACATTGATTGAGATAAAAAACAAATTGAAAACGAAACATATGGTACTGATTTTATACTGAGAACTGAGACTTTCTACTTATACAATACATAAATACTTACAACTACATAAGGACTATCATTAATTACTTTACGCGGGACGTACGATACAAACTAACGGCAAAATAGTCAAATTTACGCAACACCAACATATTAATTAATAAATGTATGTATGCCAATTGTGTGTACACATACATATAATGAATGTACGCATATATGCAGCAAAAAGGTTACGCTGACGCGCGGTGCTTTAGAATATCAAATTATGAGTAAAAAAAAAAAAAAACTTTAGTGTGTATCTCTTTTTGTTTAATTTACTTAAAGCGTGTACGAGTTGTTTGGCATGCGTGAAGAGTGTGCGTTATGAATGCAATCCGAAAATAAGCTACTCGCGTTCTGTTTAAGTTGTTCTTTGATCAAATGGTTTGCAAAGCCATAATCTGATTTTTCGAACAGCGTAGATGTGAAACTAATTTGTTAAGGTTGCACCTAATGTAGGGTTACTCGTCCGCTTTAACGAAATGTATGTATAAAATGCGGCTTAAAAATAAGCAATGTATGACTGATAGTTTGTACGTGATGGAATAAGAAATTGTAATTGTGTTTGTGTGCAAGGAAAAAATAAAAGTATTTTGAATGCAAGAAAACAAAAGATCACTTTTTATTTCGAATCCTACAGTTTTGGTTTAATCGGCAACGACAACACGCCATCCTCTTGCAGTCGACGCAGTTGCTCAGGCTTTATATCCAGCTCATCCAGCAGGGACTGTACATCCATTTGCACGTTTCGTCGTAATTTGCCGGGCGTACGGCTTAAACGGGGAGCTGGACGGGGCGCCAGAATGTCGTCGACACGCTCAAATGACTGGCGCTCTGCGTTGTGACCATGCTCCTGGACTTTCTGCCAATCCACTACGGGGTAGACACACGCGTCTACGTCTTCAAATATCGCTGACCATTCGGCTTGGGATTTTGTCAGAAATGTATCCGTTAATAGCTGCCTGCCAAGGATTTGGTGTTCTTCTCCGTACTGGGACAGCTCCTGAGGCAATTGTAATCGATCTTTAAGCAGCTCGAAGAACTGAGGCTCTAATGCGGCTACGGACATAAAAAGACCATCTTTTGTTTTATACGTGTCATAGAAATAGGCGCCACCATCTAGCAGATTGGCTCCACGCTGTTGATTCTGATTCCATATGCTGAGCCCCCTGGACATAAATAACCAGCTGGCCACGTATGCAGCGCCGTCCACCATCGCTGCATCCACCACCTGGCCAAGACCTGACCTATGGCGCTCCAGCAATGCCACACATATGCCCAATGCACACATAACGCTTCCGCCTGCAAAATCAGCCAAGAGATTGATGGGCGCCGTTGGCTTCTCATGCTCCCGGCCCAGCATCGATAGCACGCCAGATACTGCTGCATAATTGAGATCATGGCCAGCCCGAGCTGCTAGGCGGCCCTTCTGTCCAAATCCCGTTAGGCGCGCATAGATTAAGCGCGGATTATCTGTGCATAGTTGTCCAGGGCCCAAATTAAGCTTCTCCATGACTCCGGGACGAAATGGTTCAACTATCACGTCATATTTCTTGGCCAATTGCTGTACAAGCCGCTGCCCCGCAGCCTTTTTTAGGTCAACGGCCAGAGTGCGTTTACCATGATACAGTACATCCAAGGGATTGTCTAGTACCTACAAATAATCTCAGTACTTTTATACTTTCTAACAATTCTACTTCGCATTTACCTTGTCAATGCGCGTAACGCTGGCGCCAAAATCGGCGAGTATTTTGCCACACAATGGGCCTGGAGCGAGTCCCACAAACTCTAAAACCTTAACGCCTCTTAATGGCATCAGGAAAACCTTAGACTGAATCGAAATGATGCACTTTGTCCGATAGGAATACCAACGCGCGGGGGCCCAAAGTACATATCAATGTTGTGTGTTCATCAACAGGCCAAAGATAACATCTGGTATTAAAATACCATAATAAAGCATGTTAACAGAGGCATGCATAAGGTGTGTGTGTGTGTGCGTTAATGTTAAACTCGCGCAAAGCTCGACAAACTGTTTATGTTATGTGTTCATATTTTGCATTAAAAACATTCACAGTGAGTACATAAAGTATGGTAAAATTAAATAGAGATGAGCGATATCTACGCAACCGTTACAAGTATTTAAATGTAGCACGTTACTTCTGTTATGAATTTAAAATTGAAAAATTATTTTAAACACATCGCTATTAAAACTTAAAGACCGTCCTATCTTAATTTATTACTTTTTGAAAACTGAATGAAAACTCAGAAACTGAGTTTTGCCATAATTTGACAATTATTTAAAAGTAAATATATTTGACTTTTAAAAATAATTCGTTTGCTTTGTTCCCGCCCATTGCTGTTTAAAATTGTTCAACACTAAATCCAAGCAGTGTTTCAGCTTTGGACCGAACTAGAAGTTCGTTAGATCTTTAAATGAGCATGATTACAATGAAATTTGTTTTTTTAATTTATTTGATTAGAACTTAAACTTAATAATATAAAATTACAAATTGGGAAAACATGCATTATTCCTGAGACAAAGTATGAAGATGCTTATCAAACAATCCTCTATCGGCCCCAGAGAGTATTTGGCGTATTTGAAGCTTGATGATATTTCTGGTCTGGGGTGGGTATCTTTTCAGCTTATATTCCAAATATTTCAGATATTGAGCAGTTTCATCGCCACAAGCATTTTTGATGGAATTGTCCGGCTGTGGTGAGTCCCCTTTGTCGTCCAGAGCCCCATTGTCATTGCTTTTCTCCATTGTCGAAGTTTTTCTCCTGAAAATCGGTAAAATTAAGAACACATTGATTAACAATAATTTTCTTGGGTTCTTAAATTATAATTTCTTACAGTATTTTTTCCACAACACAACGAACATTTATTTTAGTGACAGTAAAAGGAAATTGACTAAAGCGCCGAGGCCTACTTTTTTTTATAAGAAAATTTTAGCTATGCGTTCGATTCAAACGCAAAAGCCTACTGATTAAATTAAAAATGATATAGATATGCATAATTATTAATGATTTAACAAGTTAAGAAAATAAAAAAAAAATGTTGTGTAGCCTGAACCTATTTAAGATGGGTAAAGAGATATACTACCTTAGTGAGAGTAGTAGTATATATACTACTAGTGAAAGTATGAATCATAGCAGGAATCATGCTATATATTCTTGGTCTGCACAAATCTGTCTGACCTTCGGTCCGTACGTATGAATGCCTCGATCACAGAACTAATCGTTGGCTTCTGAGCTAAAGGGAGTCCGCTGTTGATGGATTTTTGAGTGTTCTTCAGAATAATTATTTATTCCTTTGCCAAAACATTAAACCTCAATTTGTTTTATATGTGGCTGCTAATATAATTCAGTTTTTTTTCCGCGTAAATCCGATGGCAATAAGTTCGTTCGGTTGATGGGGGCGCGAGCTCGCACTTGAGAGATGGGATATATTTTTCTGAAGTTTTGTGCTTATTGCATATTCAAAATGATTCATTTGAGCTGAGGAAGAGAGCTACAAACTGTTGGAAAAGCTTGCGTTCATTTCGCATGAGCGCAAATCTTTAAGGTCAAGGCGGCACAGTGAAGCATCCGCTATCAATTGTTTAGAGAACTGCGCAATCTACCCCAGCCCTCTGTTCTACACAGTATGTGCAGCTTATCAGCTGCGAGCTGCCTCCAGCTTAGACTTAGAATCGACTTGGCGTAGTTCTCGCGAAATAAGCCAAGCGAACGGATGGGCAAAATGCTCTGGCAATGGCAGCTGCCAGTGCTGCTGACAGCCATACGGCTGGTGCATGCGGAAACGGCGACCACTGCAGATGGGAGCAACGGGGAATCCGAGTCGGCACTGTTTTTTACTCGATTGTACAAGCGCAATCTGCAGCAGATGGTGGAGCTGAGAAATGTTAGCGCCGAGCCGTGTGCGGATTTCTATGCGCATGCGTGTGGCAACTTTGGGCAGCTGGCACTGGCTCCGGATCCAGATGATGCAGTGCCTCCATTTCTGTATAACATGCAGGATCGCATGCAATTTTTTCAATCGCAACATGTCAACTTCCAAACGTTGCCGGGCAAATTGTTGGCACAACTCTACGTGGAGTGCAAGGCGCGGGGGGAGCAGCATGTGTTGAGCCGCCAGGTAGCTGCCACACACTGGGAGCGCATGCTGCAGCAGCTGCCGTTTTTGGCTGCTCATGGAGAGACTCTGTCGAGCTGGCCCTTTCTGCAACATCAATGGCAACGCAGGCAGCTGGCTGAAGAGCTCAATTGGATACATTTGGCAGCGCAGCTGGCGGCGCACGGTCTGCCCACCTTACTGCATGTATATTTTGCCGAGCAGACCATCTATGTGGCGCCTATGCAGGAGCAGCCGTGTCCCAGCCTGCGTGGATTTCAGGAGAGCATGTCGACCGTGCTGGCCGGACGTCATCCGCAGGTGGCGCACATTGTGGCGCACGAGATGCGCGTGCTGTGCCGTGGCCTGCGCGGCGAGCTGCCGCTGGTCAGCAGCTTGACCGAGCCGAACAGAGGCGCCCAGAGCACGACTGCAGCTGGACAGGAGCAACTGCAGCTGGATGACAACACAATGGACTACTTTCAGGCCTTCTTTGGACTGCTCAATTTCACGGAACACCAGCTGGCAACGGCGCGCAAGCTGCCGCTGAATGTGGAGCGCATTACCCATGCCTGGCAGGTGCTGCGCCACACGGAACCGCGCATCGTCTACAACTATGTGCTGTGGCAGGCGCAGCAACATTTGGCTTACGAGGATTGCTTTCAGCTGACAGCGGAGTTTGAGCGTCTGCTCCACGCCGAGTACTGGCAATGGCATGTGCTGACCCCGCAGCTGACTCGGGATGTCGCCTTGGCCATGTACCAGCTGCACACCACACGCTTCCAGCAGCGCCGGCGCGCCACTCTCAGCCGTCGCGACTGGTATGGACACCTGCTGCCGGCGGCCGTGGAGCGCCGCGAGCTGCAGGTATCACGCCTGCTGCAGCTTCACGCCCAACGCTATCTCAATATCAGCGAGTTGACGCTGCATTACGGCCAGGTGCGATTCAGGCCGGATTGCTTTTATGGCAATCTTCTAGAGCTGCGACGCGCTCAACTGCGGCATGCCTTTGAGTCGCCCTATGTGGATGAGGAGGATGAGCAGCAATCGGCCTATTTCCTGCGCCATTTTCTGCACTTTGTGCTGCTCTCGCTGCATCGCCCCATGTACCATTATTATGCCACGCAGGGCCTGGAGCTGTGGCGTCAGTCGCGCCTGCTGCAGGACACCGATGGCTACTATACCGCACTGGACTGCCTGGAGCGGCAAACGCAGCAGCTCTACGATGCCCAACTGGCGGCCATCTATCGCCCACTTAGCTCTCATGAAGTGGCCGACGTATTTCATTTCCATCGATCGTTCCAGGCCGCGCTCCGGGACTATCGCTTCTGGTTGCAGGGCGAGCGTTTCACCTTTGCCGAGCAGTTTGTCCTACAACACTTTGGATTGGATGAGCATCGTGTACTTTTCTATGCGGTCGCTCAGCAGTTGTGCAATCGCCAGGATGAGATATTTGCGGCGCAACTGAATCGCGGCTATATGAACCTGCCTGAGTTCCAGACCGCTTTCAAATGTGCGCCAGAGTCGCAAATGAATCCCCCCGCCAAGTGTATGCTTAACAGATGTGAATAATGGAAAGCCATTAAGAATAATATATAAACAGATCCACATAATATAATTATATTAGCCGATAAGTTGTAATGTGTTCTAGCTTGACAATGCAATGCTTGAGATTTTCTTTCGACTAAATATTTAATTTAATATCCTCTATTAAGGGTATTAAGGATCGGTTGAGAACACACTCTATTCTATTCGATTAAGCATTATTGTGATATCGGATCTATTACCTACAGTTGTGCGTACAAATGATTGCATTGCGCATGCGCAGCTCGCTCTGTTAACACTTTGCATAATGCATTTTGCAAGCAGTGCACGTATGTTAAGTTTACATCTCTAACATAAGCAGTTCCAACTCTAAATATTAGGCTGTGCCTTGTAATAGTGTATGGCCGAAGCAGTGCACTCACCTCAGATAACAGATTTTTTTGTTATTGCAGCCAAGCAGTGCCAAAGTTAAATTTAAAAATATTCTGTTAGGAAACTAGTCTCTGTATGTTAATGGAAGGGTTTAAAGTGAAGGTGTTTAAAAACAGAATGGAAATTGCTTGAGGTAATGCGACAGTTGGCATAAAGTCTTAATAATATAATATAATAATTAAAAAAATTCAGTTTAGAGGTACTCTGAATACATATGCATAACAGAGTTTTTTTTTTTTAATTTGATTTGCAAACGTCCGATTAATAAGTATTGTACGCGCTGTTCAGCTGATTTATTGTTTGTTTTAGGCCCTATTTCCAGAGATAGACCAGTTAAGCTAATTTCTATAGTTTCCCAATTTATTATCGCTGCGTGTGGCTGCCAACGCCCACCATAGTTATTTTATTATAGCACATATACGATATATATAGATGTGTTATATATGAAAACATATATACACTTTTTATATACATTCAACGTTTTCAGGGGCACATAACCGCCATGGAATGTCAAGCAGAATGGGAACTAATAGATAGACATTAGCCCAGAACGAGAGACATCTGTGGTACCGCCCTGACCGCCTACACCCCTTCTTTGCCATCTATCCAATTCTTAGCATCCATTAAGTTATTTTTTGATTATTTCAACAATGTCGAACTTGTGAAAAGATTTCATAATTGACATGCGTTGCAATCAAATTTTGGAAGCACTCCATATAAATGAAAAACAATTTAAAATTGTCAAATTTAAAGATTCTATATATTTAATAAGTGTAGCCTTATGATTAACACTTTGCATTGACGAAATATGCGTCATTAGAGGGAATGCGACGAACTTAAGGCTTATAATATATCTGGATATGGAATGGTAAGATTTCAAAGTATTTATATTTCCATTGTAAACTCACATATCCTCCGAACCTAAGGCCAAATGTTCCATGCCGAGGCAGAAATTTTCAATATTTTCAACAGAATTTCATGAGCATTGAACCGTACAAATTTGCAGATAATTTTGAGTAATTGTTTAAGTCATTATGCACATTATTTCTATACTATATCATTTGTTGTATTGCTTTTTTTTTTCCATCTTCAGAGTTCATGTCCACCATTTGCGCAGTGCATTTTCAAATTGAGTTAATGACAACTGTCAGGTACCGATTTTTGGAATAGAACCATGAATCTAAAAAATGCGCCAAGTTGTTTACGAAAGTGTAGGCGTTGTCTATGCCCAATACTATATAGTCTCTAGTATATGATGCTTGCGTATTTGTCAATTTTATTTAGGTTTTGAGCATCTTCGCAGCTAAAGTTCACGATTTATGCGTTGGCTCAGCAAATGGATTTTAATGACTCTTGACAACGTCATCTTTTAGAGACTCTTCAATCTGGACTGTTTTTTTTTTATTCCATTTTTTCTAAATATGATTTTTCCAACACATTTTAAATAAACGTCATCTTTCAGAGAATTTGAATATAATTTGGTTCCTTTGCGCCTGAATTTTGCATAATAAAGCGTGTTGACAAGTTGCTTGAATAAAACACTCGATAATGGTTTTGCTTGTATTTCAAAAATGGAACAAGCATGCATGGAATATGTTTATATATTATATGAATTATTTTTAATAAAAAGCATTGTTATTGTTCTTCTATTTTTTTTTTTCAATTTTTGTTGTCGGCTGCGGCTGCTCGCAAACTGTCAAACCGGCAGCATACATTTATTTTATTTATTTTCGATGTGATTTCTTAAACTTTTAAGCAACATTTACTATTGGCATCTCATTTTGGCCAATGTGCTTTTTGGAGACCGAACCATAGTCCACATATTTTTCCACTTGCCAGTTGACAGCCAACGTTTTTCTCTCGAGTGTCGTTGTTTTCGTAAATCTCTGTGTGTGTGTGTGTTTTTGCTATCTTATAGATACTTTCACAGCAATGTTTGGCGTCTCATAGTATTTCTTTTTGCGCAACCCAACAGACAAGTGCGTGAATTGGTTTTAGTTGGGCCAAAGCCTTGCTGCAGTTAATACAACAGTCCGCAATAATAATTAAAGAAAAAAAGAAAAGCCCAGGTAATCGATGGTCTTTCCAATTAGAGCATAAATGAATGTAGAGTGAATTTTTTGCATAATCTCAATCGAGATTAAGTGTGCCGTGCTCATAAATTTATCGAGAAATATTTGGAACCGTTCCAATCTATAAAGCTGGAATTATTTTGCCACAAATTCTATACGTAGTTTTCATTGACTACATATAGACAGACATTTTGATTGCTTTAGCAAAAGAACAACAAAAATAGAGGCAAGACAGCAAGCAAATGCGAAACATCAAACAAATATACACGTCTGTGTGGAGCCTGTCGCCAGCTCGAGGTTCTTGATATGAATAACATTTTCATATGGTTTTTCATAAATTTCTAGTTGTATAATTTAAAAACAAAATGATATGTGTTTTTTTTTAAATTTATGGGCGCATCTTTAATGTTGATATCACATAAAATTCTCACGCGCCAGCTAAAAGAAAGAATTTTATAGTCTGACCTTTGCGAGGCTGTTCGAGGCGATAAAAACTATTCAATTGAATGTTAATATAATACTTAATTAATTTATTAATTGCTTTTATTTATTCCCAAATTCTATTTAAGGCGCTTAAGCAAAGATGAGTGAGGCAAGTAACTTGATGACTACCTTCGGCATTTTGGCCATATTACTTTTCTTCCTTTGGATCATCTATGCAGTGTTGTAAAACAACACTGAACGGGTAGAGGCATGAGCAAGGGTGAGTTTGAAAGTAATCGAGATACCAAGTAGCTTGTAGCTTATTCGTAAGTTATATGGAATAAAATGAAGACTTTGAATACAAATATCAGATACTATTCCTTTTTAAATAAGGTGTATCTGTTATAGTTCTAATGTTAGAGTTAAGTTTCAAGACTGCGCTAATTAGTAGAAATTATTAAAGTAAAAGTTAAGAGTGGTATGTAAGTAATTATTTTGATTATAATATGCACTCCAGACTAAAGTTAGAAACGTTCGTTACATATTAACATCTACTCATCCTAATTATTATTTTAATATATTTTCGAATGAAACACCTTAACTATTAGATATATAGATGCCAAAGTCTGTATGTAGATAGCTGCCCATTTAAATTATAGCACAAACCAAATGGATTTGCATAGAACTTATAGATAATATTCCAAATATATGCAAAATTCAATGAGCTGTGCATGTAGGGCACAGTGGGTAGTACGTGTCTCGATGAAATTATTTAAATATATTTTGGACATGTTTCAAAAGCCAAATAAACATATGGCACAAGCGATTTCAAATATATTTAGCGGCCAAAGAAAATAAATATGAATTGCGATTTAGAATATAGCTGCCTGGAGAATGCTGACCGAACCGCACCGCACCGAACCGAACCGAAAAGCTGACCACAGGAAAAACAAACAAATAAATAAATAAATTTGAAAGAAAAAACATTTTTCAATAGCTGCACGAGGTCTAAGGCAATTTGCCACCGGCGAGCATGAATAATGGCCAAATTGAAAAGAATTCACGAATTGTTACGTTAGGTACGAGAAATAGAGCGAAACTGGGAGAACTTGGAGAAGTTGCTATGCTCGGGCTGCATGAGGCAAGCATATGACGCGCTTGCGCCACCCACACGCATCCATGGAATCTAAACATGCATATAAATATTGCGTATAATTCTGGCAATATTCGTACATATAGACGAGATGTGTGCCGCATCAAAATATGCGCAACAACTGGACAACCACATCAACGGCCATCTCTGTTTCTCTAAATATATGTGTATATATTTATATAAGTATTATATATATGTATATATTTGAATGTGTGTGTATGGCAAATATATAGAACCATAATTCCAATGAGCTGACTGCGGTCTGCTGTCGGATTTTGATTCGTGATAAAAATTATAGGCCAGTTTGTGGAGAAGAACATTTTGGTGCGTTTCTCAGTTATTCCGTGTCATTTGCTTCGAACGGTTTGCCGATTCCTCAAAGCTCCCAAGTGTGTGTATCCACAATTAAGTTGCATTTGGTGCTTTATTAATTTACCAATACATTAACGAATTGACTTCAATTACAAACTATAAGCAATACATACGATATTCAACTCTGTGAACCGACTAGAACAAATCCAACTGTCGGGGACACTTTGTATTCACTCTTGGCTAATTAAATATCTATAATTCTCTTTTTGTACAATACAGCAACAACTAAAACAGCAGCTCGAACAAAATGAATGAAGCCAGAAGTTTGTTTACCACCTTCATAATTCTGGCATTATTGCTATTTTTGCTCTATGCCTTCTACGAAGCCGCTTTCTAAATCATGATTTGAATAGTTCAAGGATAATCTTACATGTTGAATTTTAATTCCAACAACAATATTGAAATATGTATGTTTAAAATCAAAATTACCTATGACTAGGATCTAAGTCGCTAGCATTTAATGGATTTCTATTAGTACCCTAAGTCAGGTGAGTCAAGCACACAGTATCTATATCTAAGTATATATATATATAAGTTAATTTTCATCTTAAATTCAAATTATTGCTGCTCATCGCAAATCAAAAAGCGGTTTCTTTTCATATATCTAAACAGTTTTCGCGAACATACTGACATGACACTAATTTATGAAATTAGCAAAGGAAAAATCTATGAAAAAAAAATTGTTTGAATACATATAAGTATATCTATACACCCATCCGGCTCTTCGCCTGATTATGCTCCGTTTTTTTTTTTTGCTTTTTTGACAGCGCTGCCAAATCTTGCGACATTAGAGAAATCATTTTCCAAAAAGTTTTTGCTTTTTTAAGACGACATTTCGACATGGCCCTCTAAATATCTACCGCTCCATACGATTGCTTTATATGTATATACAAATATATATATAACAGCTTTTGAAATATTTTTGCAGCGTGTGAAATTTGTCAAATGATTTTGACGTGATATTTTGAGCGTTCGTAATTTTCAAAATTCTTTTTTTATTCCTCATAGCGATTTGAATTTCTTTAGATTCTAATGCTCGCTGAATTCATTAAAATATGTATGAGTATAAAAAGAATTGTCTGAATAGCATACACCTTTTCGATTCTCTTAGGTATTTTATTATATAATTATTACTGATAGTAGAAGATAGCTCGAAGGTATTGTAGATGGAATCATCTGCGACCCAATATAGTATATATATATGTTCTTGATCAGAATCAAAAGCCGACTCGCTAGATAATCATAGCCATATTTTTGTTTCAATGCAAACATGTGAGCCATATCTTATCATTAAGGGTCAACTATATTCTTATATGGGAAGAATCAAACGAAAATGAGCTTTTATATTTTTCAAAAATTCTTTACAATTCTCCTTATAAATTAAATATTATTTTAGTATTTCACCTCAATCAAAATCAAAATCCTTTCTTTATAATGCCTGCATGAAATCCATTTGGGCTAAAAATATCTAAAAGCAATCATTTTTTTTTGCAACAAACAAATTTGTGGCTATTGTTTATGCGTTTTACCAATTGAACTTGAAAACAATAAAGATAAATAATACAAAAAATAAAAATAAAAACAATCTGCGCATATACCGTAAATTGAATTTCAATATCGGCTGCCAAAATGTTTTCAAGAGCCCCAATTTTATCCATTGAAAGAAATGTAAACGTCTCCACATGAATATAAATATCATATATAATTTTGGATATTGCGATTGCGGCCAATCATCATTTTGAGAAATAAATAAAACTGGGCCAGCTGTATTTCAAGAAAATTCTTATTCGATTCGTGCTTCCTGCAGATGACGTCAAAGCTGCAGGCCCAAAACAGCTGCTCGGTTCGGGGCTCTCATAATTGGGTTGAACTGCAACAGAGGAAGCGTGTGTATGGCGGTGAGTACCATAAGATTTAATTGCCCAATTCTATATCTGATATATGAACTATTTTTATTTCGCAGAGCTACATTCGATTTGGCCAGCGTTACGGTCCATTTGGGGCGACGTGACATCCACAACGTGCCTTCAATATACTTAGCTCGGACAGTCTTGGCGTCATCTGCTCTAATCATAAATATTAACTGGCAATTTTTGTTTCGCAATGGAATTCATTCAATTTACAATTTACAATTTATAGACCATAATGTACAGTATAAGTGTGTTTAACAGCAACAACACATCAGCATAACAAGGCGCACATAGGAAAATTGTTTATTTCATTGTTTAACACTTTGCACATAATATGTAAGATCTTTATTTCTATTATTCTATTTGCATTTTCTTCGTAAATAACAACAAGACCAACAGCTACACAAGCAACAAGCAACAAACACCAAAATGCATTAATAACAACAACAACAAACAAAGCAGGAATAAAACAACAAAAAAAGCAAAAACAACAAAAGTTCTTGGGTATAGTTCTAAGTAAAGTTGGGCTGGGAAATGGTTACCTATTTAATAAGTGAAGAAAATGTCTGAAGTCTGACAGGTCCAGATATACGAAATGAAAATTCGGAGTTTCCTTTAAAGCTGTTTCGCAGACATGATTTTTATAAAAGAAAATATATTATTTCTTACTCATTTGCTTGATATGGATTTAAGCCTCAAAGATATAAAAAGATTAAATCTGTAAAAATCAGCAGTAATACGGCTCGACATTCCAACTTCAAAACATAGCTTGGATATTATGTATAGCTCCGGTTTAGTTATTTAAAAAAAACCTGGAAAGTTACATTGCAATAAGGCAGCAAATTAGGTTAAAGTTAAGGCAAATATGGAAAAATATAATTTTAAAATCAAGCCGGAAACTATTTGTAGTTTCCGATTAGGCCCCTGATTACATTTACAACCTACTATTTTAAACGCTTACCTATTTCCCTGGCTTTCATAATGTGTTTCTTTTTATTATTATGCGCACTCATTAGTTATTTATGTTGCAAGCTGTTTTACGCTTTTCGTCTTAATTTTCTTTGTCGCCCACTGTAGATTCAGCTTTGAGATTGGTAAATTTAATAGAAGCAACTAGCAACTATGTTAGGTTTTGGATTGTAGTCTAATGGGTTTATAGTTCCCTAACATATTCTTTTAGATTTAAGGATCTATAGTTTATCGAACCCCTTCATAAAATCTTCATAGTTAGTTTACATATACATACCTTGATTTAAGAACGTAGTTTGCTTAATGTATTCAAGGTGTCTTTAGGAGCCCGCTTTTTGGATATGCTACATATTGTCATAGTCTGTGCGTTAAGCTGAGCGACTTATCTTCCTGATTTTCGCATGTTTCCCTTTCCTTGCCTTCCCGATTAGTTGATTAGTAAACGTATTTCGAACCCGCAAAAGCAACTGCATGTTAGCTGGCCCAATAGAGCCAGTCGTACCATGTCGGGCTCAAAACTTGCATTGTAACGTCAACTTGCATAATGTGGGCAGTGCGACCTGTGGCCAGTGACCACAATTGAGAGACCCTCATGGGTTCCACTTGAAACTCATTTTGCATGCACATGAATGCAATTCGAATTTGAGTTTTTGTTACCTCAAAACCAACCTTCGATTAAGCGAAGCTTTTCGGCCTATTGCAGCTCTTCCGTCTGTCGGTCAACAGATTGGCAACCGGTTCAACGGCTCCGATTATGTCCCCCCCGCTTCCCTATTGGAGCATACACAACACAGAAGTTATGCAATCAGTTGGCAAAAAAAAAAAACAAAAAAAAATTGTAAATTGATTTTCCCAGCCGGTTTTTGTACGAAAAATGTTTACAGTTTTTATTATGATTAACACTATGCGCCAATATTTACAAGACTCTTAAGATCTAAGACACACAAGCTGTTCGTGCAATGCAGTATTTGTCTACTAGGTTATCTTCTTTTGGCTTAAACCCTCGAGGCGCAGGCGGCGCGTCAGCTGGTGGCCAATGAGCATGCGCAAATGCAGCGGCGCCAGCTTCATGAAAAAGTACTGCAAAGGGTAAAGAACTGAAGATTAATATTTTGTTATGTTAATGTGCTACAAATTACGCAAAGATCGACTAGAAACACCGAAGTTAATCAAGAGTTGGGCTGATATAAGAAGAATCGCAATATACATATACTAAACTGTGTAGAACAGAAACAACTCGGCCTGTATACGGCGCATTTCCTAGTCGACCAACTTAAACTGTTCTTCTCGTTAGGATATAGGCCATTCTGGCTATCGAAACTACTTAGTAAAGCTCTTCCCAAGATTAATCTCTAGTGAGCATATAGATGCACCCTTTGCTAATACTTTCGATTAAAACGTTTTCGCTCCCTTTTACAGGAGTATAAGTTATCCGTTTGTTAATAATTTGTTAGTCTCACCTGAAGTCCGTGCGTCCAGAAGCCCGTCGTCATGCTCGTTTTGCCCAGCGTGAAGACAGCGGAACGCGCAAAGCTGCGTGCAGTGGGTATTAGGAAACCTCCGCGCATCACCGAATTGGAATACTCATTCATTTTGGTAATCACGAACATGGGCATGACCAGCTGCACGGTCACATTGAACTCGGCCAGCTCCTGTTCCAGGGCCTGAGTGAAAAATGTGACATACTTCTTGGTAGCCGAGTAAACGGCCATATTTGGCATAGGCTGAAGCTCCGATCCAGAGCCAATATTAACAATCGCACCCCTTCGAGCCGATTTCATTTGTGGCACTATCTTGCGGGTCAGCATGGTGACAGCGCCAATGTTGATGGTCAGTATATCCCAGATGGTATCTTCGGGCACCAGTTCCAGGGTCTCCGGATAGTCATACATTCTGCCCACATTGTTCACTGCAACAAAAACCGAATTTTCCCCTTAGTTAAGGCCATAGATGCTTATCGGCTTAAGCCTTGTTGTTGCAAGGTTGCCGCAAACGCAACAAAAATGTAAATTGCTGAAGCGCGTCAAAGCGTTTATGAGTTTGGCAAATAAAACTCCAAAAGTTCGACACAGAAATTACTTATATGTACTTGAAAATGTTTGAAAATCTGCCCGGCAGTCCGTCAAATGGCCCTACCGCAAAGAGTCATTATAATTGCACGCCATTACGAGTATCTCAGCTCAGCTATTTCAATGTCATTGACAAAAAGACTCAACAAAACAAAACAAAAAACCAAGCTGCCCAATTGTTGTCGTCTGTGACACACGGCCGGCTACTGTTAGTTGACAATGAGTTGGCCATAATGTGTCCACAGGGTGGGCGGGTGCTGTGGCAAGTTGTGGTTGGGCTGGTGACGTCCACCAAAAGTACGCTAACTTCCAATCGCACCCAATAATGATTTATTTAATTATTCAAGACAGTTTGTAATATTTAAGTTCCAGTACAATTACTAAGTAGCCTGCTCCTAATCTGGGTTCTTCCACTCTTAGTTGGTTTGTTTAATCAAGCCGAAGCTGTAAAAGTTAGTGTGAGACCTGTTTCACAGCGAATCACAATACACAAAAATACAATTTTCGGCTTTATGCTGAACAATTGAAATTAGATGGTTTTTGGGAAAATTCATAACTGAGAAATTTTCGAATAGTAGCTCGTAGCTGACCTGGAAGTCTCAAACGTGGGATGGGCACAGAATTTTAATTTATAGACTCCACACATAAGCCTTAACTAACCTATTAACTAAAATTTGGGCACAGTATACCTTCAATTTTCTTAATTCTGTTTTAACACATGGGTTTTTGTTCGCTGTACAATTCACTTACCCAGTATACCCACTTCAATGCCCGCCAGCTCCCTTTCGATTTGGTCGTAGGCTTCGCGTCCCTTGGCAAAATCAACGGCTATCCATTTGGTCTTCACCTTGTGCTCGCTCTCTGTAAAAGTTGAGTGACAGGTCAGATCAGTGAGCGTATCTGGACAGCCCTTTACATACCAATCTCATTGGTTACCGCAATAAGTTTCTCTTTGGTGCGTGAGATGAGCACCAGATTGAGACCTTGGCGTGCCAATTCTCTGGCATACTCCTTGCCAATGCCATCAGTGGCGCCGGTTATCACTTAAAAAAAGAGAAAGGACAAAATATTTAAGCTAAGCAGGGTATAAATCAAGCAATATTTAAAGCAAGGCAGAGCCATAGTAATAATATTAATAGTTGAACTTATATTTAATCTTTCATTTCACATGGTTTTGTCAGACGAATGTTGTATTATGAGTTCTAAAATTCCTAACATTGTTGAATCTGAAATCGTTTTTTCATTATTTTGTAATATTCTTAAGTTCAAATATTTTGTAAATTTATATCTGAATACATTCAATTTCAAATGCTGAGTTTTCGCAGGTAACTACTTAACACACCCTTGCTAATTATTTGTTTGGTCGGGCCTCTTTGGCATTTGGTAGTTGCTACTGCCGAGCCCAAAACCAATACAAATCCAAATACCAATAAGAAAACAAGTGTGCAGTTCCCGACTACGATATGCCCTGTATTCAACAGGGCTTAAATATGGCATCGATATAAACAAACTAAAGCTTAAGATTGTAACTTTTAAAACGAGCTGGAGACAAGTATATTTACCTAGGTTATAGGTCGACACTCAAGATTACTTATCGATGATTAGAAGTAAGCTGGTTCTGGGTTCAAATATAACGTCTCTAGGAGCAAAAGTGTTTGGGCTCAAACAGATCGTAGAGCTTTCATACTGAATGGCGGATAGATAGACAGACAGGGCTGACATAAAGTAATATAGGTTGACCCGGAATACTTAATAGGCTCCATAAGCTTCGCCTGCCTGTTAGATACCCACGCACCAGCGATTATATCCTTCTTTTACAAATTTACAGGGTGTGCAAAACTTGGTATGTGTTTGTTGTACATGCTGCGGCTATTGGTGCCGCTGTTGCAATGAGTCAATGCAACACAGTTGCCACTGCGACTGCGCAACTGGCCAACAGGCGGCATTTGTTGGCACTGTTAAACTAGAAGTGGTTGTTGTAGTTGTTGTTGTTGTATTCGTTGTTGCTGCTGCTGTTGGCCACTCTGGTTGCCAAATATTTGTGCAGCGGAAATATTGGCAACGAACGACAGCAGCGGGTGTGCTAAGCGCGGCAAATTTGCACAGCATTTTATAAGTTGGTAACAGTATTTGCAACTAAATATTTTAATTGAAAAACCTCAATTGGCAAATAATATTTCACTCTACCCAAGGTCAAAAATACTTGAGAATATTGAAATGAGTAGACATTAAAAGCCGACCGTAAAAATGTCAAGACGAACGCTGCAAAACAATTTGTTGCTTCTATTATAATAAACAATTGCTTTATTTTCTTTTTAAAGCCG